TTAGGGAATAGTATAATGTACAGATTGTTAATAAAAAAAATGGAACGGAATCAGCTGCATGAATAAAACCATATAACAATACAGTAAAGGTTTTATTTTTTAAACGATCAGTTATATCAGTCAATACTTTGTATCTATTAAATAATTATAAGAATTTAGTTAGGAAGGGATGGAGTCAGGAGAAATAAATAATGATAAGAAATAAGGGGGAAATGCTCAGTTACAAAAATAGTAGTATGGACATGAACTGTAGGGAAGCCTACCTCAAGGTTTACCATAATAAAATTATGGGCAAGTTCGGAGATCTCCTTGGATTCAGCAAATTTTGGCTTTAAAGCTAAGAAGAAAAAGAAGGGTAGGGGAGAAAAGAGAAAACTGTGTAAGAAAAAAAAAATCATAATTCAGGCCTACACCAAAATCACCACTCCATCCCTTCTTCCAGAGGTTAGGTGCTTGACTCTGAATAGTAAGTAACTAAATCTTTGTCTTAAATTACTGAACCCATAACACAGAGTGAAAGTTAACCAGCCCAATCCTCAGTCAGATGATGAATACTGGCCAAAAATAGTCACATGTGTAATTTTTGAACCAATGGTACAGAAGCAAAAACCTTTCTCTGTCCCATTACCAGTAACCCAAACCACCTCACCTAAATTTTTAGACCTATGTCATTATGGTTAGCCAGCTCCATTATATCACTGAACAAGACAAAAATCTAACCATCCACTGAGAAAGTCCAGTTTGGAATATGCAGGTTTACTGTTCTTTCAAACTTTTATAATTTTCCATACCAAGGATTAAGCCTTCAATAGAAATGGAAGGTACCTCCCATTTGGTGTGTTTTTTAATAACCAATTTATAGCATGGATTTGGACAGCTATTAATTTATTGCATTGAAGATTTCTATTTGTGCACTACTATATTGATCTGAGCAAAAAGCAAATACTACACATGCTATGCTCCAAATGTAAATAATAATAGACTTGTATAAAGAAACCTTCCATTAAGGATTTTAAAGTGCTCTAGAATTAAATTCACATACCTTTGCAAGCGCCACACCAGGACTTGTGGATGATAATCATTAGAGGCAAACCACTTTAGAAAAAAAACAAAGCACAACTGACATCAATTCTAAGACACTTAACAAGACTGCATTCCTGAATGAAACTCTGAAAATGCACTTTCCAGTAATTAAAAATCTTAAAGAAGGCCCTACCTACTGGAAAAAGTCATAGATGTAAACTGATTCTATTGTGCTCCCGAAGCTTCATTTCCTTGCTAAAGTCTTCCCAAGTTATAACCATCAGCACCAAATAATCCAATAAAATGCCTTGTGATACTCTGTACCTCAAAATAGCACTCTGGAACCCCCATATCACCACTGTGATTGTATTATATTTTGTACAAAGTATACCTTGTGAGGTATCCTTTGAGAAGTTATAATTGGTTGAACGTTACTATTCTGTTGAATTATATGTGTTACCATTGTATCTGAAGTTATGAAGTTTTGCTGTGTGTGTGTTACTGAAATATGTTGTATCTGGGAAACGCCCACTGCTAGTCTTTCATTGGCAACAAAGAAGCAACTAACACTGACAAGACAGATTTACATCAGGACCAGTCAGATGTGTTTATGACCCATTAAGAACAATCCATTCTCCCAGTGACTCCTCAGAGAGGGCATGTACACAATGGGGGCTATCTAACCCCCATGTCCCTGCAAGGATCTTTCTAGCACCTGGAGAAAGTATAAATGAGGGCCGATGACATCACCACTGTGCCTTTCTCCTCCCCCATTCAACATCTAGAAGATTGTTTGGAAGACAAAGACTTGGAACTGAGGAGATTGACAGGCTGAGAAGAGAATTCAGCCTGTGTAATAAGAACTGTAAACTGCCTGGAACATCCAATGGGGTGAGAAAAACTGCTGGATTCAAATCTTGGTCTGATAAAGTGTCAAATTTAGACTGCAATTTTCTTTTAAATTTCTTATGTAACCAACGTTGACCTCTATGCAGCTCTCCAACACCACTTTCTACAAGCCATTACCCTCTGATCCCACTGAGGGTTACCAAAAGAAACTACAGCATTTGCTCAAGAAACTCCCTGAAAAAGCACAAGAACAAATCCGCACAGACACACCCCTGGAACCCCGACGTGGGGTATTCTATCTGCTACCCAAGATCCATAAACCTGGAAATCCTGGACGCCCCATCATCTCAGGCATTGGCACCCTGACAGCAGGATTGTCTGGCTATGCAGACTCCCTCCTCAGGCCCTACGCTACCAGCACTCCCAGCTATCTTCGAGACACCACTGACTTCCTGAGGAAACTACAATCCATCGGTGATCTTCCTGAAAACACCATCCTGGCCACTATGGATGTAGAAGCCCTCTACACCAACATTCCACACAAAGATGGACTACAAGCCATCAGGAACACTATCCCCGATAATGTCACGGCAAACCTGGTGGCTGAACTATGTGACTTTGTCCTCACCCGTAACTATTTCACATTTCGGGACAATGTATACCTTCAAATCAGCGGCACTGCTATGGGTACCCGCATGGCCCCACAGTATGCCAACATATTTATGGCTGACTTAGAACAACGCTTCCTCAGCTCTCGTCCCCTAACGCCCCTACTCTACTTGCTCTATACTGATGACATCTTCATCATCTGGACCCATGGAAAAGAAGCCCTTGAGGAATTCCACCATCATTTCAACAATTTGCATCCCACCATCAACCTCAGCCTGGACCAGTCCACACAAGAGATCCACTTCCTGGACACTACAGTGCTAATAAGCGATGGTCACATAACCACCACCCTATACCGGAAACCTACTGACTGCTATTCCTACCTACATGCCTCCAGCTTTCATCCAGACCACACCACACGATCCATTGTCTACAGCCAAGCTCTACGATACAACCGCATTTGCTCCAACCCCTCAGACAGAGACAAACACTTACAAGATCTCTATCAAGCATTCTTACAACTACAATACCCACCTGCTGAAGTGAAGAAACAGAGTGACAGAGTCAGAAGAGTGCCCAGAAGTCACCTACTACAGGACAGGCCCAACAAAGAAAATAACAGAACGCCACTAGCCGTCACCTTCAGCCCCCAACTAAAACCTCTCCGACGCATTATCAAGGATCTACAACCTGTCCTGAAGGACGACCCATCACTCTCACAAATCTTGGGAGACAGGCCAGTCCTTGACTACAGACAGCTCCCCAACCTGAAGCAAATACTCACCAACAACCACACACCACACAACAGAACCACTAACCCAGGAACCTATCCTTGCAACAAAGCCCGTTGCCAACTACGTCCACATATATATTCGGGGGACACCATCATAGGACCTAATCACATCAGCCACACTATCAGAGGCTCGTTCACCTGCACATCCACCAATGTGATATATGCCATCATGTGCCAGCAATGTCCCTCTGCCATGTACATTAGACAAACTGGACAGTCTCTACGTAAAAGAATAAATGGACACAAATCAGATGTCAAGAATTATAACATTCATAAACCAGTCGGAGAACACTTCAATCTCTCTGGACACTCGATTTCTGATCTCAAAGTGACTATCCTTCAACAAAAAAACTTTGAAAACAGACTCCAACGAGAGACTGCTGAATTGGAATTAATTTGCAAATTGGATACAATTAACCTAGGCTTGAATAGAGACTGGGAGTGGTTGAGTCGTTATACTAAGTGAAACTATTTCCCCTTGTTTATTCCTCCCCCCCCCACTGTTCCTCAGACTTTCTTGTTAACTCCTGGAAATGGCCCACCTTGATTATCACTTCAAAAGGTTTTCTCTCCCCCCACCCCACTCTCCTGCTGGTAATAGCTCATCTTAAGTGATCACTCTCCTTACAATGTATATTTTTTCATGGTCTGTGTGTATGTATAAAATCTCCTCATTGTACTTTCCACTTTATGCATCCGATGAAGTGAGCTGTAGCTCACGAAAGCTTATTCTCAAATAAATTGGTTAGTCTCTAAGGTGCCACAAGTACTTCTTTTCTTTTTGCGAATACAGACTAACACGGCTGCTACTCTGAGACCTCTATGCTAACACTTATAATCACTTAAAATCTATTTTCTGTAGTTAATAAACTTATTTTAATGTTTTATCCTTACCAGTGAATTTGTTTGAAGTGTTTGGGGAATCTGCTCAGATTACAAAGGCTGGGGCACATCCACTATCCTTTGACAAAGTGGTGTACTAATTAATGAATTTGCATCATTCAAGAGAAGGTCTCGAGCAGCGAAAGATGGTTACATTTCTGGGGTGCAAGGCTTGGGAGCTGAGAGATTTGCTGGTGTCTCTCTTTCTGTATAGTTCATGAGTAGCTTCCAGAGCATTCATGCAACTTAGCTGGGCATGTCTCTGCATGCTGTTGGCAGAGTGATCAGAGCACCTGAAGGGGTTTGCTACTTGTCACTAGCACGGCCTTGTAAGAGACAGCCCAGGGAGGAGTGTTAAGGGGGCACAGTGGTCCGTCCTTTCCAGGTTGTAGCCTCAGGGTATGTTACAGCCATCCAACAACTTTTCCAGCGTTCAAATTCTCTAACCTCCTTTGCATTAAATTCAATCTGTTAGGCAATTAGACAGAAGGACCTTGAGTGCACTAGAGATTTTTCCTAACGTTTCCCAGTTTCTAGGAGTCACCTGGTAGGGCCGGCAGGAGCACTACAGTAAACTGCCCTGAGCAAAAGGGACATTGCTACATTTTAAATGTGATGTTCACATTTATAGCTAGGTAATAAATATGATGTTCACATTTCTAGCTAGGAAAAAATAATAATAGGCATGCATGTAGGACATTTAACCACCATGTCACACAGCTCTGCTCTGAGAAAGGCTAGCAGACACAGTGCTTACTATGCCAACAGCCACCTGGAGCCCTGTTTTCACTAACATGCTCACTGTGTCTGCTACCAGTGGTAGTAGTAATAGGAAATCCAGGAATTCAGTAGACACAGATGGCAAACTCTATTTATTGTTGACAGTTTAAAAAATAAAAATAATAAAAACAAACAAACTATGAAGCAGTTAAAAAATAGTAATGAATAAGCTGATTGATGGCTGAAGCCCAGAACAATCTCATTCTTTAAGTGGTAATGATGGCTACTGGTATAGTTACATTGCAGCTGGTCACTCTGTCAGACCCTAAAAATCTATCAATCATCTACTATAACAGGAATGATGTCGTGGCAACAGAATGGTAAGAACATAAGAATGGCCATACTGGGTCAGACCAATGGTCCATCTAGCCCAATATCCTGTCTTCTAACAACAGCTGGTGCCAGATGCTTCAGAAGTAATGAACAGAACAGGGCAATTATCAGGTTGTCCAGTCTCAGCTTCTGGCAAAAGGTTATCAAAAGATAATTTCACGAGCCCACTCCCATTCCCTTTCTCTAGACTTTCTGATGAAGCAGCAGTCCACTATCAGAAGCATTCCATAAACCAGTGTTGATTTCTATGTTCCTTTCTATGAAGCACTGTGGGAATCACCAAAAGTATCTTGGGGCCCACTTGAGGAGGAAGTGTGGAGAGCTGCAGGATGTGGGCTCATGATATGAAGGACATTGAGGGAACCCCTATTTTAAACAATCAACTACTAGAAGTTTATGTTGAAACTTTCTGCAAAGGAAGAGTCCAAATATTGATTTGCCAGTTACTTCATGTATACTTATTACTAAACAAGACTCCCAAGAAAAAGTAGAAACGTTATTCTCCTATGTTTGTAGATTTTAAAGCCAGAAGGGACCATTATGATCTTCTAGTCTATTTCATCCTACATAACACAGGTCACAGAGCCACACCCACTAATTTCTACATCAAACCCATAATTTCAGTTTGAGCTAGAAAGCAGAATCAGTCAACACTATGCTTGGCTGATGCAGCAACTCATGGTGTCGGACACAATCAGGTGGTCGAGGGACATCTACATAGAACACATCACTGGACATCGGCAATACCAGGAGGGATGAGCTGGAGTGCCAATGAGAAGTGCAGTCAGGAACGTAACAAATACTTTCCTCATGGATTATATATTCTAAGTGGACAACCAACCTAATTCTCAATTACTGAGGGACAATCTCCACTCATTGATATATTTTGCTTTCCACAACCAAATCTCTGTACAACTTTTCATGAGTGATGTACCTGAGTACTCGGATTCTAGTATCTAAACTGTATTCTTGAATCTATTCACCTAAATTTGGGTTATTGCTGATTATGTACTCTATGTATCATGTGACTTAAAAATTAACTTCATTTTTGTGAATAATCTAACCACTATACCCAGATGTACACACTCTTTTCCCAACCTATGTATTATATATTTTTTTAACATTAACTTTAATAAAAATTTTATATCTTTTAGAAATACATCTCATAGTCACTTAAAGAGTTCCGGTGATTTAGAACCCACTATATCCCTATACAGATTGTCCCACTACTTAATTACTTAACTGTTTAAAATTTGCACTTTATTTCTAGTCTGAATTTGCCTAGCTTCAGTTTCAGATCACTGGATCTTGTTATACCTTTGTCTGCTAGTTTAAAGAGTCATGTGCTATCAGAAATCTCTTCCCCATGCAGGTAGTTGTAGATAATGTCACCTCTTAACCTTGTCTTGGATAAGCTAAATAGAGTTTCTTAAGTCTTTCACTGTCAGACAGGTTTTCCAGACATCAAATCATTCTAGTAGCTCTTTTCTGAGCCCTTTCCAAAGTGTGGGCACTGGGTTCCAGTAAAGGTCCTACTAATTCTGTATACAAAGATAATACCTGTTCATATATTAACTCCAAGCAAACAAGTTCTTCTAAAATCTTGTCCTAGAAAGCACCTCTGCTTCTTCACTAACATCTCACAATTATATAAACATTTTCCACACAGCAAGATTCATCCGCACTAGAAAGCCGCCGTCTCTAGGGTAGACTTTTGGGGGTTTAATATATGTCTTTATTTTCTCCAGTTTGGGAAGTATGAAATTTAGCAGTATGTTAAAATATTTCTGAATGACACGGTCTAACACATGATCAGAAATTGGCAGAATTACAGGTAGAATTGAAAAAAAAACCAAACACATGTGATTTGATTGGAATGGATTATTTCAGTAAACTAGGGGTTTTTTGAAAATATGCAGGCAAACAATATTTCCCCCAAGATTTGTATATCAGCTAAGCCTTGACTTCCCTTTACCTCAAAATATTGCATTTTAAGTCACCAAGTTGTTTTTTTAAAGTTGTTTTGGATATAGGAATATGAAGCCATTCTAGACAGAACCTGAAAGCGTTAGACTTAGGGAGGGAGTATGCCTGGTGTGGTATCTAGATTTCTAGCTATGTATATCTCATATCATGTTGTGCAGAACATAGGAAAGGGCCGCTACAAATGTCAATTTAGACACAAATTGTGATTGGGTAACAAGAGTAAGAAGTTACACTGCATGAAGTTTTTAATTAAATATGAATCATGGTAGTCCAAAACAGCTTTGATGGAGGTAAGTTTACTGGCTAGCTGCTACTACTAGTGAAAATAAAAGTAAATACCTTTGTTTTCTTGAAAACAAAATTTTATGGAAAAATGTACAGGGGGGTCACTATAAGGTGGAGTCTAATTTTTTAAACAAGTTTTACATAGCACTTTTTGACACCTTACATTAAAAGTAAGAATTTCAGAAGTTGAATTTCTTGCTCATTACTTCAGTCAGGGCCAACATTTCCACTCATGTTGTTCATTTGCTGCAGATATCTCAGTTTGGATGATTCACTATAGATATGAAAGTGTGTTTCACTTTTATTTATAATCACTTTCAGGTTTTCATGCAAACAGTATAATGCTATAACATTTGGCCTGTTAACACTGCAAGGGAATTTTATAAAAACTGTTTACACAAATTAAAAAAAGTCATGCAAGTCTATCAGCTGTATAGGGTTATCCAGATCTTGTTTGCATACAAGAAAAACTAAGCAAGGAAGTATGGAATTATAACTAGGAATAATCTGATGGAGAAAAGGACAATTTATCTGAATATCAGGGAGAAAAAACTCCAGTAGTTAGATACATTAAGCTGTGGAAATAATGTCTTAAATGAAGTAGTGCACACCATCACTTCGGATACTTGAAGACAGGACAAAACAAAATGCTCTGCCGAGAACAGGTTTGCATTAGCAGAGAGGTGATCCATTAAGGTTTTTTCTACCTCACACCTCTAAGATTTTTTTTTTTACTTGACAGTGTCTCTTTGCACCTTATAGTCTGTTTCTAACAAGAGAGTGGCATGTAAAAGGAAAAATGTAACAGAAGGATTTTTAAAGCCACATCACAATGGCCACACACCCTTAGTAAGGTAAGATCCCAAATCCCTTCACAGAGCCAGAGGCTGCTGCAGCCAGAGGGATATGGGGCAAGAAATACTCCCATGTGGAGAGTAACAGTATCTTTACAGGGACAGCTGATACATAGAGAGCACAGAAGGCAATCTGGCACCAGAGAAAGCACACAATAGATGCAGGCAAGGAGCCAGGATGTTAGAGGAGTGTGGCATGGGATTTTTACCAATTAAACTTATAAAACTGTAAAAGTCTTCCCAGGGCAGTGGTGGCAGTGCTAATGCTTGATTCATTTTAAACGAGATTGTTCCTTACATTATATTGTTCCACCTTGCAGTGGATGACGGCATTGAATTACTTAAATTTATAGAAAAGAATGAGAGGTATGAATGGAAGCGTCCTTCCAGTTATAACCAATTATAGTCCTGAGTACCAAGAAAGGGGGGAAATTGTGCTAAGAGATGCATATACGGTCAATTCCAATTTTAACCACAGAAATATATTATCAGCATAGAAGCTGCTTCTCTGTAGCATACACAGAACATGGGCACACATTTTCCTGCCCAAACTAATATTAGAACATCAAACGAATTAAGGGATGTTGAGAAAATAGAATGTTACACCCTCACTGATTTCTTTCATGTAGCCCAACATGATTTCGCTCTTTCTTCAGCAGTAGGGTGACAGATTTATCCGAAAGATATACTGAAGTTATAACAGTATCAATGATTCCCATTTAATAAGTGAACACAGTCCAGCCAGCCAGCACCTGGTCTAGTACCACACACTACTATCAAGGGCAAACTTTTCTAGACAGATTTTGAATTGAGGGGTTTATAATTACTAAAATAGAATTCTCAGCAAATCAGGTATCAGAGATGTTTTACTGCTTTTGACCACACACTTCCCAGCTTTTATTCTTTCCAATTTAATTGCCCACAGGGGGCAAAGTGGGGTCTCTTTACATAGCAGCTAGAGTCATTTTTCAGTCTCACAATATACAAATCCACGTACTGACTGGTATATATTATTGGGTAGTCAGAGCATATGAACTTTTATACTCACTGAAGTGACCCGCCCCCCACTTTATGCCATCATTCCAGACAAATAAATGAATGTTTAACAGGGAGGGAAGCCTTCCTCAAAAGGCAAAGAGAAGCAGGTATGCATATGCAGGGAGAGGGTTCATACTAAGATTAGGGTTAAACAGAAGGACAGGATCCAAAACTGAGTTAGCAAGCAGGTATGTCTACACAGCAGAATTAGTACATGGCAAGCCGGGGTGTAAATCTACAGCGCTCTAGTATACCATGCACTGACTGTGTGGCCCATGCTGGTGCTCACTAAAAATTACCTAGTGTGCTTTGACCTACTACTGTTCACAGAGCACTAAGGAAATTTTAGTGCACAGCAGGAGGTGCAAGCAGACAGGTACTGGGAAGCATGCTACAGCATGTAGATTTACACCCCAGCTTGCCATGCACTAACTCCCCATATAATCTCTTAATTAAGGCATATAAAAGAGTTCCAAGGGGTGTATGCAATCAGAACAGATACTGTAATAATGAAGTACAATTCAGATCATCCTCATTGTGAGAGCACCTGCTGTTAACTGAACAATTAGTGTATTTAGCCCAGGATCTGCCAATGACTTTGGAAAGGAAGCCACAGAAAGTTGCTGAAATAATTGTTTTGAAAGTAAATTAAATATTTCATTCCATCCCAGGCACAGGATTTCAAAAAGAGAGACAGACATTTGAGTTCACAAAGTAAACATATTTCCACTGTCTAAACTGAAGATTAATTTCCTGGGTTCAGAAAAACTTTTGAAAACACCCCCAGTTTTTAAAAAGGCTATAAGTCCCAATCCTGGAGTAGCAAGGCCTCCTTTGTACAGTCTGATGAATCCATTTTATCCTTGCCTTATTTAGGGCAGGCACAAAAAAACCCAGATGAAAGATTATCGTTCCTCAAGATGCTGCAGCAGCATGAGAGCTCAGCTCCCCTGTAGCATTCCTCTTTGGACACTGCAGAGACTATACGGTTAATGGGGTTTGGCTCTCCATAGCCCCCATTAGTAGACTTTTGGGATGCTTGAGGATGCAATGGCTAGCTGCCTGTAGCTGCCCTTGTTAGGCATTCCTACTCAGATGCTGAGGCTGCTACTTGGGGGGGGGGGAGGTGTGCACACCCACTACTCCTGTTAGCAGAAATCATGGACCACCGCAGCTGGTTCTCCATACTCGCTCTGGTTGGATACTCTTGCTCAGATGATGGGTAATGCAGGGCCCTCCTGTCTATCAGCACAGACTTCTGGTCCAGGCACTGGAGACCAGGGACTAGGGAGAGCCAACTTCCCATTGGCATAGACTCTTATTTTGGGGGATGTGGAGGCTCTCGGTGACTGGACCCCATTAGCCAGCCCTCCTGTTCAGACACTGGACTAGGGAGACTATGGGGTCACTGGATGCTGCGGCTCAGGTACTGCAGGAACATGTTGGCCAACTGGGGCAGGTTCTCCTCACTAGGATGCATTTTGGTGTAGCTGATGAACTGCCTTCGGAGCCGACTCAGCTCAGCCATGCCCAGGGGCCGGCTCAGCACCAGCCCCTCGCTGGCCCCAGCCACCTGGATCAGCTCCCCAGGCTGGGCCCCGCTCCTTTGGGCGGCCAGCACGGCAGCCAGCACCTCCTGGGTGACCCGGTCCAGCTGGTGGAGGAAGCCGGCGGACTGCAGGGGCTGCGAGCGGGTGGACTGGTTGGGCGGGGGCGGCCTGCTCTCGAAGAGGGCGGCGCGGATCTCCGCCAGCGGCAGCGGCTCCTGCCCGTGCACGATGAAGAGGGGCCGGTCCCAGCGGTTCCGCGAGTCCGGGGTCTCGAAGGGGCCCGCGGACGGATGCGGGGCGCCCCCCGAGCAGTGCAGCAGGCAATGCGGCGTGCCCGCATGCTTGGTCACGCAGTAGAGCTCGTAGCGGAAGCTCTTCAACTCGTTCCCCGCGTCGACGATCACCACGTCCCGCCGGCTCAGCCGCCGCTCCACCTCGGCCCGCAGCGCCGCGCGGCCCCCCGCGGCCTCCGCCACCACGTGCACCGGCCGCTCCTCCGCGCTCAGCGCCCCCCGCAGCTCCTCGGCCCGCCGGCTCTTCCCGCTGCCCGGCAGCCCGCACAGCACCACGAGCGGCATCTTCCGGCCGCAGCCAGGGACGCCGCCATTATAACCCGGAAGTCCCTCGCAAGCACATCCGGGGCGGGCAACGAACGTCACTCCCGGCCCCAGGGCCACAAGAGAGCTTGGCCCTCAGCACGAGGCGATGTCAGGCTCTAACGCCCCTATGCAGGGAGGGGAGGGCTGGGGGCGAGGGAAGCACGTCACAGTGTGGCCCAGCCACAGCGCCCCACCGCATAGCAACCAGCCACCCCACGGCACTGCCACCCGACAGGCATCGCCCCAGGTCACACAGTCACCCTGCAGGGCACTACCATCCCACAGCGCATCACCCCAGGCCATTGTACATAGCTTCTCCATAGTGCACAGCCACCCCATGGTGCCACCGCAGGCCACAGTGCTCAGCCACCCCATAGCGCACACGCACGCACACACACAAAGATTTTGTCTCACCTACACACAAGGTTTTGTCTCACCTATGTACTCCTTGGTCTCATACAAGCTTTGCCACTCACAGGCACTCAGATACTACAGAATCTGGCTAGATATGTCACCTGGGTCTGCCCTTCCAGCAATGGAAGATGGGGCTGTGAAATTCACTGACTGACCATTCACTGCATTAGCCAAGACTAAGGAAGAGACATCTCACTGCCAAGGCTTGACAACCTCCCTCCCACTAGCTTGTTGTCTCACTAAATGTAAGGCGAACTGCGTAAGGTCACATATACTTTTCTATGGAAAAACAATAGTGCAGTAATTACCACAAATACTGCAGTAAAGTGGTTTTTGGAAAGGCATATTGCATGGATACCATTACGTACAGTTAAGTGCCACCTTAGAATTCTCTAACTGCACCTGCTATGTTAATTTTATGTCCTCACTACACACTCTCATATTGTGAGTGGGAGAAAACAGATGGATCAGTTTGAATGCAAAATTCAAATTCTAGCTATATCTTTCATAAAAATCTAGTATGTAATTTTTATATTTTTTAAAATAAGGAAATATTTTACACTTCCAGATTGGTGTCACAGATATAAAATAATCTTTTCAATTAACTCTATGGCCTCAGTCCTGCAAACATTTATGCATGCAACTGCAAGTAGTCCTGTTGAGTTCCAAAAAACCTATTCATGTATGTAAAGTTAAGCACTAGTTTAAAAGTCTGCAGGACTGGGGCCCATGTCTCTTTCTGTATTGTAGTAGGTTGTCAAAAAGCATGAGAATTTTCTTTTCAGCTCAATGATGCAATAAAGCCTCAATCCAGCAATTGGATCTGTGGGTAGATCTATGTAAACCTATGAAGATCTACACGGCCTCAAGGATGTATCTACCTGGAAGATCTGATTGCAGTATCAAAGCTTATCATTCTCAAATGTTAAATGTTTTCTCTCTGATGTATTATCTGGGTCTGTAGGTTCTCCTATACCACCTGGATATTTTTACACATAACTAGCTCTGATTAAATATAGGATCAATGCAGAATCTTTTTTCTCTTTTTAATGTAAAGCCACCCTGTGAACTTAAATTGTATAACATACCTGGCTGCTGCCTCTTTCTTCCCATCTTCTAGTGTCCTCCAATGAATGTGATCTCCAAAACCTAGAAAAGGGAAAGGTTTATAAAAGTAGCATAATTTAAAATGTCAAATGACAGATAAATATATTTTCTGACACTATCAACTAGTTTTATTTCCCTTCTTTAGCAAGCATTTTTTATATGTAACCATTTGTTTTCAATATTCATACTCACTATCACTTGAATCTCTGTTCTTGGATAATAAACTTACTCTTGTTTTCACTATACATATACCTACGTGCTGTGCATTCAGCAGAGCTGTGTTCTAAGATATAACTAGCAAGCTATAGGGTACTGTTCCTTTAGAAACAGCAGGCCTAGTAATTCTAAGTAATTCAGTGAATAAGCAGCCGGACCTTACAGACAGCGTTCAGAGGGCTTAGGAGACGGGTGTGCCTATTGCTGTCTGCAGAGCCCTGGCGGGGAACACTGCCAGAGGCTGGGGTAGTCAGGGAGCTGACACACAGCAGGCACAGGCAAGATTTGCTCATAATTGGATTTGTTGGGTAAAGTTAATTTTCATATTCCTCTTTCATAATAATGCAAGGTCTAAGAAGACTGGGGAAAATTCCAATATTAATACCTTTTGGTCAATTATTAAAGAACATGGGGGCTCAGTTCTGCATGCCCTTACTCATACAAGTAGTCCCACCAATTCTGTAATTAACAGACATGCAATGTAAGCTGTGTATCCTGAAGTGAAGACAAGGAGAGGATGCAGAATGGCACCAAGATCTGCTATCAGCACTATCCATCGAATAAGATAGCAGGATTGTCTGTGTCACTCTAAAGTTTAGAATGTCTGTTAAGTCAGTGTGAAGCGATGGAAACAGATACAAACAGAGCTGAGAGCTCTTTTTGTATAGAATATCACCAGGTTCAATCACCACTGGGATTCGCAGCCTGTTACTGTCCAATGTTTAAGTTCTCAGCCATTTTTTTTTGCTTTTTTTACACATTATGAATTACACCCATACAACAGCATGGCTTTCACCTATCACTATGCTATTTTTCTATTTAGAGTTAAACAGTACATAAGTGTGCCTATCCAGGCGTCCAGGCATCTTTGCCATTTATTAAAAATATAACCGTACTGGTACAATATATTTCTGTATGGGACCAAATTCTATTGCCTATTAAAGTCCCTTTTCTGCAAAAGTATTTAACTGTGTGCTTTACTTTAAGTACATGCTTAAGTCTAGTTCAATGTGATTTAAGTATATGCGTGCTTAAGCATTTAGCTTAATCAGGCTGTAAACAGGCAGTAGAAGTCTCTGATGTCAATGGGGACAAGACTGGGGGTATGGGGTACATTTAGCTCAAGGGAACCTTACATAAAATATTCAGGGGGATGAGGAGGAGCATTATTTCTTGTAATCAATGATATTTAAATATACATTAGATCACATTTCTTTCTAGTAAGCAAGGATGACTACATTCATTAAAAATAAAATCATTACAATCTTCCCTCGCTCCCATGACCTGATTAATATTAATAGTTTTATTATCAAAAAAATTAAGAACTACCTTTCCACGATGAATGGAATTCTGTTACTAACAAAATGCAACAATCAACAGCTTATGAAATAACCTTATTTTTAAAAATAGGGACCTCTAGAGTTTAAATTCAACTATCAAAAAAAGATAACTAGTAATAATAAAGATACTTCTTCCCTGTCACTGAAGAACATAGTCAAGAACATTTATAAACGGACTAAACCTGCTCCTCAAATTCCAGACTTCAGAACAAAGATAGGGAAATAAAGTAAGGTGGACTGAACAGAGCTGGGGAAAGATAAATCCAAATCATGGTACAGGATAGTCGAACAACTATAGGTTTATTAAGAAAAGCTGAAATCAGTAAATAATGTAAATAGGTAAGATAATATGGATAGAAGGGATTGAGTCAGAACAAGTGACAAGAGAGGGGATGGTAGTGGAAGTACAGTTTACTGGAATTTGAACAGTAGTGAAAGATAAAAACTATAGGACAAACCATACAATATCTACTTGATCACCTATTTACTAGCCATAACCCAATGTGCTTATGTTGCATAGTTGTAGGGATGTCAAAATGGGACAATCTGAAGGGGAAATTAAAAATTTAATTGAGATTTCATTGACAGACCATTTACAAAATCCTTCAACAGCAAAGAAATTTTAAAAACTGCCTTAAAACTATCTCAGAACTAACAAATCTTCTTCTAAATGAAAATGAGACTTGGCAGGTCTGCTACAACCAGCAATTGACAGTTTTGAAAAAGAATAAACCTGCTAAGCCCCTCTTCTCCACTCCACAACATTAAGGCATTTCCTACTGTATCACAGCTGCATTGCTATTGCTCATAATCAATTTATGGCCTGGCACCATAATATCTTGTAGGTTTCAGTCTCAGTTCTACCACTAAAGTGATTATCTCCTTACTCCCCCTACCGATGAAATTTACCTAAATAATCAAGATTACTATTTGAATGCATTATTGCAAATATTAAATACAGTTCTGGGGTGCGCGGAAGGGACCCTCCTGATTAGGGATTTATTTACTTATTTATTTATAGCAATCATAAAAGCTTAAATACAAGCAAAAATAAAAGAGATGCCAAACCCTTGCCAAGCCCTTCTCCAGCAGAGGATGTGGTAAGCACCAGGAAAATCAGGCAAAGAAAGAGATTGGAGAGTGCTGCTGTTAATTGAATCTTCATGGTGTCAACTTGGATCCTCGGCAGCACAATGAATACTTCTCGATGGCCACAGTCAGCAAGATCAGATCAAATCAGGTTTAGGGTATTTTTTTTTTTTTAACCCAGGAAGTGATGTTAGGCGGATGTGGGTGGTGCTTCAGAGTCCTGTATCAGGTTAATAATAAAAGGAACAGATCCCCCAAAATCTGAATCAGAGACTTAGCAAAATTATTTCTGATCTATAGCTTCAGCTCTGCATATTTGATTCCAAACTGGCCACTTTCCGAGAAGAGACATTGCCTTGGGGGTGGGGGAGGCTTTTAAATAGTAATTTCATCTAGATTTGAAAGGGGAGCTCATCCAATTCACACATGCAAACTGGTTTTACCGCCAGCCCCTCATGAGGAGTAGTAATATTGCTCAAATCCAGATTTTGGTTAAAGCTATAATTGTTACCAGCATGATTTAATGTTTCACTAACCCAGTCTACATATGTCTTGGACGATTGACAGAGAATTGATCGAAATTGATTGGTTGCTCTTCAGTACCTGCAAGCGGGGGGTGGATTTCAGTTTTGTTTTATTCTGTTAAAAAAAAAGTGGAGCGTATATATCACTATGCTCAAAGCGGAACGATCTTCGGGGTTGGATACATTTAACGCCTAGCTGTTTGCAAACTGAGAAAGTAAAAGCTGGATTATCGCAGATCTTGATTTATATGTTTTACAAATTGGAAGCTGTGGGATTCCAAGAGCTCTTACATTTTTAAAAACCTGCTTCTTAAAGTCTGCCTTACTGTACAAATGCTGACCAGCTAGCCTCTAAAACCTGGA